CACACACACACACTCATGTGCAGACACATGCACACACACATGCACACACACACACACACACACACACACACACACACTCACACACACACACACTCACATGCACATGCCCGTAAGGATATAATATGTATGCCTACACAACAGTCTTTTTCAGAGACCTGAGTAGTCTATATCAATGGAAGCCCTTAATATTTTTTTTTACATTCCTTTTGTCATCAACATGATAATTTCACTATTGATATAGGATTGTCAGAAGCATTCTTGTTTTCTGGTTTGTAATTGCAGTTCTTGTATGTCAGCAAGAGACCATTGTAGATGAAGTGTGATCATGTTTCTTGCCACATGTGCTATTCATTATCAGGTATTCGTCTGGATTATGCTGCTATTCAGAGTCAAGCCTTAAGCCAGTTACCTGTTGTTAAAAAATGATTAGTTTCTGTCGATTTGTACGAGTATGAACTAGTATTTCATATCTTTAGTGTACCATCCTCTTCATAAGTTACCTTTTCTATACGCTCGTTATACACTACAAATGTTCCCTGAAAAAGTAAAACAATTGCTGTTAATTTGAAAGACTGCTGTAATGATACAATCTTGCTGGGCTTCCAAAAAATTATTTTTTAAAATTCAACTTCAAATTCAGATGGCTGACAGGCCGACCAAGAAATGGTGTCCCTGGTCAAACCAATTTAAAGGGTATACAACTTTGTGATTCTATGCCAACAAATGTATTTCAGAACTGTAAGAGTTTGGTCCCTTACAACAAAGGAGCTTGTCCATGTCATGCGACTTCACACTGATGAAATTGAGGTAAATTGTTCAGTGGCGGACACCTCTGGGATTTGTGTGTGTGTGTGTGTGTGTGTGTGTGTGTGTGTGTGTGTGTGTGTGTGTGTGTGTGTGCGTTGCGCAGAAAACGGGGCGTATCATGGTAGCAGTAGCAGATGTAGATGTCACTGAAAAAAGAAACCCTTTCGGTGTGTCGTTGTAAAGGTCATGGCCCTGTTGTTATTGATCGTTGCAATGAATGTCGTATTTTTAGTAGAGTTTACTCATCTGATTATTATGCAGGAGGTTGAACAATTTTGTGATGGATACTACTTACAATGCCAAAGTTATCGTCATTGTTGTTTTACACACTGCGCTTATTGGTTGGTAGCAGACGGAAGAGTCCTTTTTAAAAAAAAAAAATTTTGAGGATCTCCGGCTTGTGCTTCGCAACATTTTGTGAAGAAAATGTCACGAGGAAACGTAGAAAATATCATCAATCCCAACGCTTAAGATGATAGATCAAATTTGTGACTGCTTGGTCCGTGCTTCATTTAAATGTACAGCAGTCTTAGAGACCGGAGGATGATAATCATGTTTGTCTCAATAGTATGTGGGTGAGCAAAGATTATACAGTAGTTGTGACCCATCTAGCAAAGACTGAGGTTTCATCTTTCCAGCTGGCAGTGATTTAAAGTGACTAAAAACGAAATGTATCATTCCATTGTCCTCATCATCATTAGCCTTTCTCTCCTCGTGTTGAAGTAAAGGCCACCGACAAGAGCTTTCCATGTACTTCTGTCCCGGGCTATAGGCTCCACCTTTGTCCAGCTGTACCCCCATGTTCTTTACAGTCTATTCTAATTTAGTCCCTCCTCCAAGTACTTTTAGGCCTTACTTTCTTCCACTTTCCTTGTGGATTCTATCCAAAGGCTTGGAGGGCAATGTTTTATTCCATAGCAAAAGATATTTATGACTGCAAAGTATTAACAGGCGCTTTGTCCCCCCCCCCCCAAACCAGTGTATGGCAGTCCACGGGAGGCATGTCGTCACCGGCTCATGGGACAATTCTCTAGTGCTGTGGGACATTGAGAGTGGAAAGAGCGTCCATCAGTGTGTAGGGCATGAGGAAGGTATGTCAGTTTTTTGTTTTCGTTTGTTTTGGGGTTTGTTTTTGTTTTTTTTGGGGGAGGATATGTTATTTATTGCTGCCAAGATGTTACACTGCTCCATCATTTTGTGGGGGGGGGTTTTTTTATTTGGTTTGTGAAAAAAGTTAAGGGGGCCCCCCCCCCCCCCCCCCCCCCCGTCTCTTTCTCTGTCTGTCTGTCTGTCTGTCTGTCTGTCTGTCTGTCTCTATCTCTCTATCTCTCTCTTCATCACACACACACACTTTCTCTCTCTCGCTCTCTCCCCCCCCCCCCTCTCTCTCTCCCTCTATCTCTTTCTCCGCCTGTCTGTCTGTCTGTCTGTCTGTCTGTCTGTCTGTCTGTCTGTCTGTCTGTCTGTCTGTCTGTCTGTCTGTCTGTCTCTCTCTCTCTCTCTCTCTCTCTCTCTCTCTCTCTCTCTCTCTCTCTCTCTCTCTCTCTCTCTCTCTCTCTCTCTCTCAGTAGCACGATTCACTGGATCACCTGAAGCCTGAAGGTAATACGTGAAAAACAAGTGCACACAAAGGACCGTACAATGTACAACTTAATAACCTCCTTTCGGCACACACATTGAGAGACAGTATTGTTTCCTGCGAGCAGGGAAGGCGAGCAAAACAATGGCTCATGACAGTTTGGTCTAGTTTATGGGCTAGGAACCCTTGGATCGCCAGTGGTAGCGTGAATGCAGGAAAGGAAAGAAAGGTTGTACGAACTCTTTGCGTGTGTCTTTGTTTTTAAAAAAAGAGAAAAATTATCTTCAGTTCTGGAACGCTTAAAACAGTTCACCTCTCAAACGAATTCATGCAAAGACACCACATTTTCCTGCGAAGCTAAATTCTAGAAAAGAACATTGTTGCTGTATGTTTTTTAAAAACTTGTAAAAATCAATAATATCTGACAACATCATCATCATCATCATCCAGTGCCAGATCTGCGACAGACATCGGCGATCATGGTTCTCCATTCATTCCTTTGCTCGAATGCTTTTAAAAAAGCTACATTTCCGTGATCTTTCCGTGTTACCCATTTGTTTACGTTCCCTAAGTAGTTTGCTCTGGGCCTACCCCTGCCTCGTTTGCCTTCAGTTTTGCCAGTGAGAGCTAGATGTTCAAGACCTTTATGTCTATTCAGGTATCCCCAAAACTGCATTATTTTTTGTCGTTTCCTGGTTGTCTCCTCGGTGAGCGTCCCACGTGGGCTTCATCAAGCACTACTTCATTAAAATCTGATTTCTTTTCCTTCCACGATATTCTCAGCAGTCTCCTACGGGGTGCCCACTACGGCTGGATGGGGCCGATCACCCGACTCAGTCGGCTGAAACTGAAAACAAACACGTTTGTTTTTGAGGCGATCGAGTCGGGCGATTGGCCCGATCGGCCGATCCCATCCGTAGTGGCCACCCCGTATACCAGCATTCACAGCCATATAGAAGGGTTGACCATACTTAGCATTTCAGAGCTTTCATTTTGGTCGTCATTGAGGTGTTTCTATTTTTCAGGATTGGGTTCATTTTATTGAATCTAGCCTGAGCCATTGCAACGCTCTGTTTTATTTCTGTGGAACATTTGGCATCGGATGTTATTATAATATATCTTAGATATTTAAACTATTGGACTTTTGTTTGATCTTTTCACCTTTGCTAATGAGATTACAAACAATATCCTTTCGTCACACTCTCAATAAATTCATTTTTGAGAGCGGTTCTGTTATAACCATCCCACTTGTGCCAAAGTCCTCATGCCTTTGTTACCCCTGCCATACCCTTACTGTCAAGTCTCCGGTAATTTGTGTGGAATGGGAACAAACTTCTAGGCATGCTGTGTGAGAAGTTTACAAGACCAAATCTGCATGCACCAAACTTGTTGATAATGTCATAGTTTTCAAATGATAAATGTTTAAATTTGGGGGGGGGGGGGGGTTCACTTACCTGTAAGCTCTTTGATTTGTCATTGCCAAATTAAGGAACTTTAAACGATAAGTGTAATGCAGTCTCATTTGGTCAAAAACCACGTAATGCTGAAGACAAACCTTTGTCTGTCTTGATTGCGAAGCGTATGTAAGCATTCTGTAAGTCACGCCGTAACTCAATGTCTTGCAGTGGTCACCTGCTGCCAGTTTGATGCCAAGAAAATCGTGAGTGGCAGTGCTGACGGCGATGTCCGGATCTGGAGCTGTCTCAGTGGCCTCTCAGTCCGAATTATGTCTGGACACCAGCAAGAAGTGGTGTGTTCTCTGTAATACGGGTTCCCATTGGGGGGTGGGGATGCGAGCCAGATTGAGGGCGCAAAGCGGCTATTGTGGCACAAGCCGATCGGACCCGACTCGTCGCCTCAAAAACAAATGCGTTTGCTTTCGAGCGGCGAGGCGCTTTTCCCTTTCGTCAACCCGCAGCCACCTCCCGAATCGTCAGCCACCCCCAACCTTTGACACGGGTCAAACTTCCATCTATTCATAGGTAGTTACCGGAACATGTATAAGGTG